ATGCAATCTGTTAATTATTTTGTAATTAATGAAATAGGTTGTAGAACATCTTTTGTTCGGAGTGACACTATAGACAAAGAGGAATATCTTTTGTATTTACTCAGATGTTTGAGATAAAATGGTTCGAACAACTATTGTCAGAATTCAGAATCTAACTTCATTGATCTGCTTTTATAACTTGTACAGTAGGAAGTGAATGATACAATAATAGAGATAACATCTCTTCAGAAACATTTCAACGTTAAATGGTACAATAAATCCTTGTAATATTGTAGACGTTTATTCAAAGAAGTAATTATTAAAGAACGTCTTTATCACTTTTTCATACTATAGTTCCTTTCCTATTTATCTTGCAAATTAAGAAAACAAGAGCTCAAGTGACTAATCTTCCGTAACATCTCTCTAATCGTTAGGCATTAATTAACTATTTCAGAATTTTATTTGTAATTGTATTATTTTCATAATTATAATTGTTACTGGTATAGTAAATTTTACACTGTTCAGTTGTTTGAACTGTTAATTTTTCATATATGCCCTAGCAGGAAGCTCTGCAAAATGGGTCCTGTCTTTATTTGGCTTCATTATTCCAGAATGATTATTTTAGGAGGTACGGGGCTATCAAAACGTGATTTAACGTCATCGCGTCATTTAGTTCCTTTTGCAGTACTATAGCCGGGGAATACCTAGTTCCACGTCAAAATGAAATTTAATTTTCATTTTTTTTTCCAGCGATTGTTTCAATAATTAACACTATTTTCTGTCAGCAACATTATATACTACCTATTGCAGTTATATTTTTTCTGGTCAATATCTAGGATATTGTGAGAAATAAATTATTTCTTTTGTAAAATATTAATAGTACTAACAATTTCAGGTGTTGAAATAGACCAATTTGTTTTCAAATTATATATAAAGTACATTTCACGCTTGGATTCCTGTCTGATTCCTTTCTTAATATTTACTTCTCTACGTTACTGCTCCAGCTCTATAACTGCCTGTTGCTCTTTATACAAAGTAAAGTATCACTCTTCTATCTCTNGGAAAACGCTAAAAGACTTTAACTTTCATTGCACTGAATTCAACTCAAACTTATGTAAATGATCTGCAATCTGCACCCATGTTTTTTGAGTATAGTGTTCTGGTGGAGCGCCCTGTCCCATTGCGGCATTTATAAATTGGTACCTACTTGTAATACTGTTCGGCAGTATTTTACCTTTTTTTTATGCATATTATTATTAATTCCTAAATGTAGTAGTAAGTAAAATTTAACTAATATTTATTTTCAAATATTCCGATTTTTTCCTCTTTCATTTTTGAAGCAAAAGAAGTACGTTTTTTAAGCTAAACAAACTAACATGTTGTACCTGTTTTTATGACCATTTGAACCCTCAGCTTTCAATGTGTATGTTTTTAACGGCAAAGATTCTTAGAATTTCACCCCCTTTAGACATTTTTGTCGCCAAAAGAGAAAGTCGGAGTATCAGTTTTTACCAGTGTAAGGAGGTACGTTTTAAGAGATTGACCAAGCTGTCTCGCCGAGACAGTACCAACCAACCGACCATTTGTTACCACCAAATTCATTTTTGTATATAGTTCTGTATATATATTTTATTTAATAAATAGTGATTATCTTTAGTTAGAGACATCACATTCGGAAATTATTGAAGTGACCCAATTACCTATTAAGTTTACACTTTCGATAATTTACGAAAAAACACTGCTATTAGATTACTATTCGAAATA